CTGGAGAGTCAGGGATGGCGGCCCACCCAGCACCTGACCATAGACACAATAAGTGAGAAGGTGGGAACTGTCCTAGGAAAAGTAGATAAAGGGGCAGACTGGGCAGGAGGTTACGCAAGGAGGTCTCACCAGAAGGCGATGTTTAAGCAAGGCTCTGAAGGGGAAGGAATGTGTGTGTGTGTGTGTGTGTGTGTGTGAGAGAGAGAGAGAGAGAGAGAGAGGGAGGGAGGGAGGGAGAGAGGGGGAGAGAGAGGGAGAGGGAGAGAGAGAGAGAGAGAGAGAGAGAGAGGGAGAGGGAGAGAGAGAGGGAGAGGAAGAAGAAGAAGGAGGAGGAGGAGGAGGACAGCCAGTGCAAAGGCTCCAAGCACAGCTGGAGTGGAAGGAGGGATCAAAGCTCTCGGTGCTCCCTCTGGAGCCCAGTCTCCTTCAGAACCTGGTGTGACCTCTGGCTTAGCAGAGCGTGAATCCCCAGGACGGTGGCCACCCCTACCCTTCACCACCGTGCCCCCAATGTCTTTCATGGGCCTGACACCCAATAGGGGTTCCAGGAAGGAAGAGAATAGGGTAGAAGCGGCCTCTTCCAGGTGCTGACCTCCCCCTCCTCCCCTCACTGCGCCTCCTCAGATGTGGCCCCCTCGCCTGGGGATCCCCAGAAGCCCATGTCTCGGTCTGGGAAAGGAGGTCTGTTTGGAATTGAGAAAGTGGGGTATAGGGAATCAACTTTTTTTCAGAGCCTAATGTCTATACCAGGCGCTGTACACACCTTACGACTATTTTACTGACATGACAGCCATTTGGAAAGGCAACGGGGGCTGAGAGGTGAAGTGGTATCTTCAAGGAGACACCGTGTCCATCCCCCTTCGCCAGACCCTCTGCTGTCTGTGGAAAGCCAGCTGGCAGCCAGAGGACCCGAGCTGGGCCAGCCCTGAGCAGCGCTGCTGGGCAGGCCGCACGGTGCTGGGGCAGCGTGGCTGGAGGGCACCCGCTCTGGGGGCTCTCGTCCCTCCCACGGGGGCTGTGTGTGTGGCTGGCTTTCCCTGCCCCCGGGTGCCGGTGGAGGAGGGAGAGACTTGGCCTTTGGGTAAGTAGGGTGGGAGGAAACGTAGCTTATGAACTGGGGCCTACTGGCCTGCTCAAGGTTTTTTGGTTTGGGGGAGATTTTTTGTGGTGAAATATATAGAACATAACCTTTCCCTTTGGACTCTCGGAGTGTGCAGTTGGACAGCATTAAGCACATGGACAGTGTTGTGCAACCAGCACCATTGTTTCCAAAACACGGCAGGTATTTGAATAATGTCTGTCGTCTTGTTCAATATCGTTTTGGTACGTGATAGGAAAAAGTCAATTCTGGTCAGGGCCACTGTCTGCATGGATTTGCTCCGGTCACTCACGACCCTGAACAGGAATTAGCGGGTTGGAAAAATAATGTCTTGTTTTTATTAATCTTTCTTAAATGTATGCATAGCTCACAGTTACTTCAGTGTTTAATGTTAGAAGTCTTTTGGGGTCTTTATTTAGAAATTTGGTGATTTTTTTTTTTTTACCGGAAATATGCCATAGGAACTTAACTCTTGTTTATATCAATTAGCCTGTGGTAAAATCCGTTTTCTTATATTGTTTTGCTTAAAACCTCAGTTTCCAAGAACCTATAGATGAATGTAGAGTATCACTCTGCACAGAAACTCTGTATTCCTTAAGCAAAAACTCCCATCCCCCCCTTCTCCCAGCCCTGGTAACCCCTAATATACATTTTTGTCTCTATGAATGTGCCTATTTTAGGTATTGTATACAACTGGGCTCATTCAGTATTCGCCTTGTTGTGTCTGGCTTATTTTACTGAACATGATGTTTTCAAAGTTCATCCATACTGTAGCATGTGTCAGAATTTCATTCCTTTTTTATGATTAAATTATGTTCCATTGCACAGATAGACCACATCCATTTATCTGTCAGGTTTTTTTTAAAATATATATTTTATTGATTTTGTACAGAGAGGAATGGAGAGAGATAGTTAGAAACATGGATGAGAGAGAGTCATTGATTGGCTGCCTCTTGCACACTCCCTACTGGGGATATGCCCGCAACCAAGGTACATGCCCTTGACCGGAACCGAACCCGGGACCTTTCAGTCCCCAAGCTGACGCTCTATCCATTGAACCAAACCGGTCTCGGCTATCTGTCAGTTTTTGAAAACGTAAACATTGTATGCCATTCACTAATATTTTAAATCTTCGTATATACTGTTGCAGGTTTCCAGTTTCTCCTAAAATAGGGGTGTCGAACTCAGTCAGAGAAGGGGCCAAAATCTAAAATCCAGCCTAAATCGCAGGCCGAATGGTTTACTGAACAGTCATAAACTGTCATTGTGATGGAAACACAGCGGAGTGCAGTGATGACAGCGCGGTGCGGGCCACATTGCAAGGCCTGGCGGGACGGATTTGGCCCGCGGGCCTTGTGTTTGACACATGTGTCCTAAGAGGTCTGGGCTCCAGGCGCCTCACAGGTTTCATCTGCCCGGCCACTTTGCTGACCAAACCGGTGGCCTCTGAGGGGGGCGGGGGCCACCACCTGTGGCTTCTTGGCTGGAGAGCCCAGGTGCACAGCCGTGGGAGAAGGACATTGGCAGCTCGAGAGTCTGGGCCACCGCCCTGGGCTTCTGCGCTGGGAGTACCCGCCTGTGTGTCCTCCCAGCACATGAGTCTCCTGCTTGCTCGAGCCTGGGGAAGCACAGGAACACATACTCCAGGGGAGACCTGGTTGGGATGCTGCCTCTGGGTGCAGTGACAGCTCCCCGAGGGCAGATGTGGTAACTGTTGGCCCTCCCAGCTACCTCAAGAGGAGGAAGATGCTCAAACAAGTGGCTTGCTGGGGGCGGTGCCGGGTGTGACGTGACATAGGAGCTCAGCGGATCGGCCAGTGTGCGTGTCCATCCTTGCCCGGCAGAGGGTCCGGAACATCAGGTGGGGGGCCCTCTCTGGCGACAGGCCCTGCCTGGTGGGAGGGCAGCTCTCAGGACGAATCCTGGGCCGTGTGAAGTGTCCCTGGGCGTGGCCAGGGCTTGAGTACCTCCTTCCCAGGAACAGAGGAAAGAGGAAGGTGGTGTTGAGCCAGGCCTGAAGGTTGACTGACACTTACTGAGCTGGAAGGAACATGGCAGACAGCAGTGCCCAAAGCAAAGGTCTGGAAATGTAGGTCCCGTGGTGGCCAGTGTGGCGGGACCTGGGCAGGGGAGCCACTGCAGGGGTCACAGGACCAAGAACACCCTGGGCAGGCTGGGGAGCAGGGGCTATTGAACAGGGCTGTGAGGATCAGGCCAGCGCTGGGAGACATAAGGGTGGGCCCTATGACAGAGGGAAGCTGGGGTTAAAGAGGGAGGGCAGTGAAGGGGATTGGGGGCGGGTGGGTACCCGCCCAGGAGGGCCTGCCCCTAGGTTGTAGTCCCTACTTTGTTTGCCAGCAGGGCCAGGGCCAGCACACAGTAGATGCTCAGTAAACCCTGCTTGGTCTGGGCTGGTGTTGGAGAGAACGCCCAGAAGAAAGCCAGACCCTGCTGTGATGCAGCAGGAGGGATGGGCCGTGAGGTCTCAGAGGGAGCAGGACCCAAGGCCCGGGAGCTTCGGGGTGTAGCTGAGTGAGGGGGTAGCAGCGGGCAGCTTTGCGCTGGAGCTGCCCCGGAGGAGGATGGAGGGAGTGGTGGCTCACAGAGGGCGGGCAGCCTGGCCCGGGGACCCGCGGTCGCCGAGGGGGAGGAGTGCCACTGGGCCCAGGCCTGTCCCATCCCCCTCTGCCCAGGGACCCGGCTGCTTGACTGGCAGTCCGGCCCCGCCCCCCAGGCAGCAGAAAGGCCAGTGATTGGCTGAGGTTTTAGAGCCACTCAGTCGCCATGGGGACGCTCTGGAGGCGCTGGTGCGCCCAGCACTGAAGACTAAATCTTCATAATCTACCGGCTGGAAGGGTGGGGGTGGGGTCCTGCGCTGCGCAACCCCGGCCTGAGAGCGGGGTGGCCTGGGACGGCCCTCCCCGACCGTTCTGGGTGCAGGTGCCGCGTGGCACGGGCACCACCGAGAACCACATGGTCCTCACCTGACACCGACCTGGGAGCTCCCGTTAGCGCCCCGGCCTCTGCTGTCTCAGCAGACCAAGCAGGAGGCTGGGCGGGCGTGGAGAGGGGCCTGGGATCCATCTGAACACGTCTCCTCGCCCCAGTTGGGAGTGTGCGCTCCCGGAGAGGCAGTGCTGTGCTCTCCACAGCAGGGGGCGACCTCGGCAGAGCTTTGTTGGGCTGTCACCTCAGGAAACCTGGGATGGCCACTGAGGTTGAGGTGCAGGGCACGCAGACCACACACCCTGCTGCACTGCCTCAGTGTCCAAGGTTCTGCACCACGAGCAGAGGGCAGGTCTGGGGCCTGTGCCTGGGCGCCTCCGCGGCCAGCACCGGGCTGGGCCTGCTCGCAGGAGGGAGCTGGGAGGTTACAGTGGAGCCATCCCCGCCGCCTCAGGCAGAGGAAGGAAAAATTCAGGGGCCTGCTGTAAAGAGGACGTCCTGTGGGGAAAGGGTGGGAAGGGGCAAGGTTGTGGTGAGCTGGGGGAAAAGGGGGGGGCCGCTGGCCAGACCTCAAGCAGCCTCTGGGGTGACCCAGGACCTCTGGTAGGCAGCAGACCAGTCAGACCTGAGGTCATAAGCACTCACCTCCAGGCCCCTGAAGCTGGGCCTCCGTGAGCCTGGGTGTGGTGTTGAACCCAGGAGGCCACGGCACCTGCACGCCCTGTGGCCACTCTGGTCCGGATGGGCCACGCTCATGGCAGAGGGGGCTGCCCCACCTCCGGTCGGGTTAGCCCCTTGGGGCAGCCGGAGGGACAGCAGTGCTCACCTCCTGCCAGGGACACCGGGCACGGGGCACGCCCTCCCTGTGGCTGTTGTGCCCCCGGCACCCTGGGGGCAGGTCCTGAGGAACAGCGGGTCCCGGGGTGGAGCCTCACAGCCAGGGCTCTCGTTCCAGACGACTCCTCCTCTGAGAGCGGCAGCGGCAATGGCTCCTCCACCCTGAACCCGTCCACGTCGAGCAGCACGCAGGGCGACCCCGCCTTCCCCGAGATGAACGGCAACGGCGCCGTGGCCCCCATGGACTTCACGGCCGCCGCCGAGGACCAGCCCATCAACCTGTGCGACAAGCTCCCGCCGGGCACGGCCCTCGGCACGCCCGCCTACCCCGCGGACGGCTGCGGCCCAGACGGACTGCGGAGCCGCGTCAAGTACGGCGTGAAGGCCACCCCCGAGGTGCGTGGGGCCGTGGGCCGCCTGCGCCTGGACCCCCCGGGGTGTGCGAGGCTGAAGGGAAAGTGTGTGTGTCCAGAGCTGATGCCAAGTCGGGGTGGTGAACAGGGTGTCTTTCTGAGGCGGCTCTGGGAGGGGAGACCATCCCGTGTGACCCCAGCAAGGCCCTCATTTCTCTGAGCCCGCGTCCCGTCTCAGAGTCTCAGAGGTGGGTGATGTGAGCCCTTCACCCACAAGACGGAGTCTGCTTTGAATAGCAGCACAAGTGCCACATCCGGCAGAGTCCCCAGGCCTCTGTTTCCTGGCTCCTCCGTGGGGGTGGGGAATGCAATGGACCAGGCCACAGGGGGGGCAGGGCAGGTGCTCCCACCTTTTGGTACTGCCTCCCCACCCCCACCCCCCTGTACTTTTTAAAAATTGATTTCAGAGAGGGAGAGAGAGAAACATCCTGCACACCCCTAGTGGGGATTGAGCCCACAACCCGGGTATGTGGCCTGGCTGGGAATTGAACTGGCCACCCTTGAGAGCACCCAACAAACCGAGCCTCACCTGCCAGGACACTGAGGTTCCCCACGATGGCGCAGCACAGCACCAGGCCGCACCCCTCCTGCTAGCGCCAGTGCCTTCTCGGAGCCCCGACGTTGGCTCCAGCCATGGCCCATCATCTTTCCTGTAGGGGGTTGGGGGGGGGGGTGGCAGTCTCTGGGGAATTCTGTGCGAGCAGCCGAGTGTGTGGTGGTTGCTGTGTGAGCTCGGGCCGTGGAGCAGGTACTCCCCTCTCTGACTGGGACTGAGGGAAAGGCAGAGCTGCTGTCCCAGTGAGCAAAGAGCTGAGGGCGAGTTTGCCCCCAGGCCTCAGGCCACGTGAATGAGCCCAGCGAGTAGGATGAGCGCTCGAGTGCCACCAGCAGCGCGCATCTTAGCAGAGGACTGGCTAAGGCGCAGTTTGGGACGTGACTTGCACAAGTCTTTTGACTCCATTGCAAGTCTGGCCTGAGCCAGTGGGAGGCCAGAGGACCTGGGTGTCGCTGTCCCCTTTAGAGTCTGTGTATGGATCGGAGATGGGCACCAGGCCAGCGGCTCCGGGGAGGCCGCGCCTGTGGGATTGGTCACAGGCAGGCCTGGTGCTGTGACCCCTGCCAGACCACCCTGTGGCCACACCGAGAGGTCTGACCGTAGCTGTTTGTTTCCTGGGCCCAAGCACCTGCTGGATGCCCACCTTGAGGACAGGGCCCATGTCCCGGGACAGCCTAGTCAGGATCCCAGTAAGTGAAGCCAGGACTTGCCAAAGGTGCAAACTTTCTAAAAGGCAAATGACAGTGTCCTCGGTGGGCACTGGGCTGCAGAGGTGAAAAGGGAAGGAAGCTGGAGGAGGGGAGTGCCGTCCAGGCTGGGGAGGTGCTGTGCCCTGTGTGTGCGCGCGACACCTGGTTGCCTTCCCCCCTTGTGTCCTTCCAGCGGGCTCTCCGTGTCTTCCTGCGGGGAGAGGGGGTGGCAGACAGGAGAACCCCCACCGGGAGCTTGGGGAATGCACTTTGCCTAATGGGCCTGTCGCCCTGGCTGGTTCTCTCTCCCGGCCCATCTGTTCCTCCTCCCCAGCAGACAGCACACGGCCGCTTTTGTGACCGCTTGGTTATCAACGCAGGGTTGCAGCCCCTGGGGGGTCGGGGAGGAAACCCCGAAGCCAAACAGATCTGGCACAACCAGAAGAGGCTGGCTGTTGGTGGGAACCCTTTCTGTGTCTGCCTTGCCTTCACACAATGTCATGGTGTGGGCACTGGCTGAGTAAAGCACTAACACCCTCCACTCAGTGTCTCCCCTCCTCTCCCCCCGCCCCGGACTCCAGGCCCTGTGTCCTTCCCACAGCCACGCTGCCCCGTTTCACAGGTGAAGGGGAGGGGACGTGCTCAGGCCTCGCAGCTTTGGCTCAGTGGCATGGGCTGTGCGGGCACCCAGTTCCTAAGCTCCAGGACCAGGAAAGGCCTGCCTGACTGCCCCCTCCTCTCCCAGTCCCCCCCGTACAGCTCAGGAAGCTACGATTCCATCAAGACCGAGGTCAGCGGCTGCCCCGAGGACCTGACCGTGGGCCGGGCTCCCCCTGCAGACGATGACGATGACGACCACGATGACCACGAGGACAACGACAAGATGAACGACTCGGAGGGCATGGACCCCGAGCGCCTCAAGGCCTTCAACGTGAGTGCCGGGGCGGCGGGCGGGCGGGCAGCCGGCCGGCCGGCCGCGGCCAGGGCCAGCCCTTCCCACAGCCGGTCTCTCCTGCAGATGTTTGTGCGCCTCTTTGTGGACGAGAACCTGGACCGCATGGTGCCCATCTCCAAGCAGCCCAAGGAGAAGATCCAGGCCATTATCGAGTCCTGCAGCCGGCAGTTCCCCGAGTTCCAGGAGCGGGCCCGCAAGCGCATCCGCACCTACCTCAAGTCCTGCCGGCGCATGAAGAAGAACGGCATGGAGATGGTGAGCCGCCCGGCCGGCCGGCCCTGCCCCGCCCCGCCCCTCCACCACACGCCCCGCCCCTCCACCACACGCCCCTCCCCTCCACCACACGCCCCTCCTTCTCCACCACACGCCCCTCACCCCCACCACACGCCCCTCCCCTCCACCACACGCCCCTCCCCTCCACCACACGCCCCTCCCCTCCACCACACGCCCCTCCCCTCCACCACACGCCCCTCACCCCCACCACACGCCCCTCCCCACCACCGCACGCCCCTCCCCACCACCGCACGCCCCTCCCCTCCACCACACGCCCCTCCCCTCCACCACACGCCCCTCACCCCCACCACACGCCCCTCACCCCCACCACACGCCCCTCCCCTCCACCACACGCCCCTCCCCTCCACCACACGCCCCTCCCCTCCACCACACGCCCCTCCTTCTCCACCACACGCCCCTCACCCCCCACCACACGCCCCTCCCCTCCACCACACGCCCCTCCCCTCCACCACACGCCCCTCCCCTCCACCACACGCCCCTCCCCTCCACCACACGCCCCTCACCCCCACCACACGCCCCTCCCCTCCACCACACGCCCCTCCCCTCCATCACACACTAGATGGCTGGGCGTCCCCGCGGCCAGACACTTTACCCATGATCCTCCCAGCGTTCCCGGAGCCAGCTCCGTGGTCCCTGTTTCACAGCGTGGTCCCTGAGATCCCCAAGGGGCCCAGCTCCATAGATAAGGGCCCTGAAGCCTGACCCCGGCCCTCCAACACCGCGAGGGCAGGGTCTCTGTGTGGCCCAGCACTAACCCCCATTCTGCCTGCAGACCAGACCCACACCTCCCCACCTGACCTCGGCCATGGCCGAGAACATCCTGGCAGCTGCCTGTGAGAGCGAGACGAGAAAAGCAGCCAAAAGGATGCGTCTGGAGATCTACCAGTCCTCGCAGGTACTGCTCACTGCTGGCCACGGTCGTGGCCGCCCCCCGGGCGGGTGGAAATCAGTCATTCCACAGACAGCGGGGCCCCAGTGAGAGGGCCAGGCGGCCTACCCAGAGGCAGCATCATGGAGCGGGATGGGGAGGGCCTGGGCACCCAGCCCTGCAGACCCAGGAAGGCCCTGTGTGCGATGACCAGGGGTGGGGACCGCCCTGCAGGACACAGCACTGCGTCCCAGAGGCTGGGGGGCCAAAGCCTTCATCCACCTGGTTGGCTCGCTGCCCTGCTAGGTCCTCAGTGTCTCCCTCCCCCTGCAGGACGAGCCCATAGCCCTGGACAAGCAGCACTCCCGGGACTCTGCAGCCATCACCCACTCCACCTACTCACTGCCAGCCTCCTCCTACTCCCAGGACCCCGTGTACGTCAATGGCGGCCTCAACTACAGTTACCGCAGCTACGGGGCCCTGGGCAGCAACCTGCAGCCCCCCGCCTCCCTGCAAACAGGAAATCACAGTAATGGTGAGTGAAGGGGGAAAGTCACTCCTTCCTGGCACAGGGACCCTTCCCATCTCAGCTTAGCCCAGTCCCTAGATAGGGAAGCAAGGACAACTTCAGCTGATGAAACAAACAAACCCTCCTCGGGGAGGAGGTGTGCTTTGTTCGTTGCACTGTGGGCCCCTCTGGTCCTGCCCCCCTATGGCCCTGTGAGCTGGGCACTGCGGTCCATCCAGCCAAGGCCCTGCTCTTTATCCAGTGGAACCCCTCCACACACACCCCTGCCTCCCTGACCACGGCTCAGCGAGATGGTGGAGCAGGACTCGGTGCAGGCCTGGCCCATTCACTGCAGCCTCAGCTCCGGACCTTACTTGTGAGGCGCAGATTCTCACCCGCCGATGCAGGGCCCAGCACCTGTCCCATCAGGTCCCCGGGCCATGATTCCCTAGGTGCTCCCCTACACTCTTCCCGAGTGACTCTGAGGCCGGCCGGGCCTGGACCAGCGCCGGAGAAATCCCTGAGCGGTAGAGACCTTCCCGTGGAGACAGTGCTCCCGAGTGGGGACTGGGGTGGAGATCTCAGGCCCAGGCCCACTGAGGCCAGGCTGCGGTCTCCCTGGGGGAGAAAAGCCTGGGTGATCTCCTGGGCGAGGCCCTTGGATTTTGTTCTGTCTGTTCTGATAGGTTGTAAGTAAAGGAGGCTGTGAACTGTACTCTGTCTGCCCCTGGATATTTGAACAGGAGGGCAGAGCAGTATGCATTTGGGGGCAGCGGGGCACAGGGCCCGGGATAACACCAAGTTGCTGCCTGAGGAGCAGTTGGGAACCCTGGTTCTAGGTCTGGGCCAAACAAGCCCGAGAATTCCTCTCAGACGCTGCAGGAGAGCCAGGGTGTTGCTGGTCAGTGACAGAGGGAACTGGCCCCTGCCCACCGCAGAGAGCCAGGCACCCTGCACTCACCTTGACCCCCACCCCACCAGGACGTATATGAGGTTCCTGGAAGATTCCTGCCTGGGCTTACTCTCATCCCTTCCTAATGCCTCTTAACCTAAAAATAAGAGGTGGCCCGGCCCTAATCCCTGAGAGCGGGGTGGGAGCTGGGCAGGGGTGCTCTCCTTCCGGAAAGGAGGGCCCCGACAGGCCCTGGGGCAGGCCGGTTAGAGCTTCTCGTCGCGCGTCAGGCTGGGCCGTCCTTCCCAGGCAGCAGGCGATGCTGATCGCCTCCACCTGGCGCCACGAGGCATGGCCTGTCGCAGGGCTGCAGCTGTCGGCCTGCTGCACTCCTCGCCCTGCTCACACCCGCAGGCGCCTCCCGAGCCCCCGTCTCCTGTGAGCACCCTGGTTCTTTGGAGGCGGCTGGCAAGGTCACTGAGACAGAGATCTGCCCATTGACCTCCTCGCCGGTGGGCACTGGGCTTGAGTCGGTTGGAGGAAAGCAACCAGTAACGGCTGGCTGCTGGGCCCCCAGTCCCACTCCCTCCCGTGCAGCCTCTAAGAAGGTGGTTCAGGCAGTTTGGCCGCTGGGTTGGGCAGCCACACAAGTGGCACCGAGCTCCTTACTTTGCTCATTAGGCTGTCATCTGGAGATGCAAATCAGCTTAGACAGACGTGGGCTCTGCCCGCTTGCCTGGTGTGCTGGGCTGCCCTCCCAGCAACCGCCTGGCAACTTGAGCGTCCTCCTGTAACCAGAGCCTGCGAGCAGAGAGCTCCGATCAGATGGGCCGTAGGAGACAGGACTTCCTCTTCTTGGGCTGTAGCTAAAGCCGAGGAGAGATGGACAGCCCTGAGCACAGGGGTGAAGAGGACAAGACTTGGGGATGGAGGGAGGAAGGAGGAAGCCCAGGGCCAGTTCACCACCTGTGCAGGCAGCTCTAGCCGCCCTCTGCCGTCCCCACGCATTGTCTGGAGGGACTGGGAGCTGCCCCAGAGGGAACCGAACCACCCCTTTCACTCGGGTCCAACCTCTGCCGCGAACGGTAGGGCACCCGGCTCCCACCAGCCTCTCATTTGGCTGCCAACAGGGGAGTGGGTCGTCTGCTTGGCTGCTGTTTCAAGCAAGTCACAACCCCACTCCTTCCTGGTTTCATTTTAACACACTTAACTCTTCCCTTGGCTCACAGTTCCAAGATATTCCTAGCAGGCCAGTACCTAGGGCCCACTTCCCTACGTCCACGTTCTCAAGGGAGAAACTAACCTCATGTGACAAACTGTCCCATCATAGACTCCCACTTCCTTCCCCATTTGGAGTCTGCACCAGCTCCCGTTAGCAGCTACTTCCCAGCCTTTCCCAACATGTTACTTCCGGTCTAGATGCCTCCAGTACAAGGGCTTGTCCCCTTCTCTCTAGAGCAGCACAGAAGCTGCCCCTGTAAATGCAGTGACGAGTGAGGCCGCCATGAGAACTGTCCTCGCGAGCCGCCTCCAGGCCTTGGAGGTGCCTCTGCACAGGGCTGCGGGGAGGGGACGGGGTACTGGCCTTGTCTGGAAGCCTCAGCTGCCAGATCCTCACTCCCCGGGTCTTCTCTGACCGAACACCTCGAAAGGCTGCTTCTCCAACCCCAGGGGCTTCCCTGTCCCCCGAGAGCCCATTCAGAAAGCATGGCACCTGTCCGAAAGCCCTTTCCCAGGGGCCTGTGCAGGCTGCGCGGCCACGGCTACACTGAGTTTCCCAGGCCAGCCCGTCCCCAGCACCTCGTCCCCAGTGCCTCCTCTCGTGCGGACAGGACCAAGGCCAGGGACGTCGCCTGCGGCCTCAGAGTGGAGGGCAGCCAAGCCCAGGCTCGCCTGTTTTAAAGCCAACGGCCCACCCTGTAGAGCTGCTTGGAAGAGGTGGAGAGGAACAGGGCCTGGTGGGCTCCTCAATATACACCCAAGTGTATTTCAGAAGATGTCAGACTCCCTCTTTCCTGCAAAGGGGAGGTGACTCCTCCAGACAGCACTTCTGGTCCTGTCCTGACCATTCTAACTCCCCCACATCCATCCCACACTCCCTGCTGTCCAGCAGCACTGACCTTCCCTCACTCGGGCACAAAAGACCTCCTCACAGTAAGGAAGATTCATGGTCCGTGATTCCTCTGGAGACAGGCATAGCCCCCTCCCGCGGGCTGCGCTCCTGGCCTCAGCCCCACCTCTTTCCCTCAGCCACGCAGGGCAGCGGCCTTGATTGCTTCTCTCCACTGGACAGAAGCCCCTTGCCTACCTGTGCATGTGTACACACACACACACACACACACACACACACACACACGGGTGGGTGTCATCCTGATCTCCTATGGCTCCTCTCTGGCTCTGGACTTACATTTGTCCCTCTCAGGGGTCAGACCCTGCTTACCGGCAGCATCTGACCACGTCTGTTGACAGCTGCCCCATTTGGGAGGGCCACACACATAGCTCACCTTCACCAGACACGCCAGCAGCCTGTCTGCTCGGGTAGCGTCAGTTCCTGCCGAAGCTCTGCTCACTTGGGAGACCTGCAGGGCCAGGTTGTGTACCTGTTGGGGGAGCACCGTCTATCTGCCTGACGGTCCTCAGAAAGAAGCAGAGGTGTGATCAGTGCCCGGAGCCTGTTCCCCGCCTGACACCACAGCCCGTGCTTTGTCATGTGCCACGCTGCCCTGGATGCAGAACCATGTGCATACGTGATCTTGGGGAAACTTCCCACCGCCAGGCCTCAGCTGCTCCCCTGTCACGTGGTGATGAGACGCTTCCTCCTTTGCAGGCTCTCCCTGAGGGTGAACAGAGAACCCCATGCCTCGTCCGCTGGCCCCAGGCCCCGTTCTAGGCGCTAGAGGTACAGCTATCCTGGGCCACAGCGGGCCCTCAGGCGTCCACTCCGCTCACCTCCCTCTCCCCCTGCAGGGCCCACGGACCTCAGCATGAAAGGCGGGGCCTCCACCACCTCCACCACGCCCACCCCCACGCCCTCCAGCAACAGCACCAGCAGGACCATGCCCACCGCCCAGCTCAGCCCCACGGAGATCAGTGCCGTGCGGCAGCTCATCGCCGGCTACCGGGAGTCTGCCGCCTTCCTGCTGCGCTCGGCGGACGAACTGGAAAACCTCATTTTGCAGCAGAACTGACCGGGTGGCACCTGGCGTGCACTCCCCCCCGGGAACGAGGCTGTCCCGCCCGACCCAGCTCCCGCCTCGCCAGTTGGTACATTTCGTTTTTTGAAAGAGGTGGGATCCCAGAGCTGTTTCTAGCCACACTCCAAGCACCTGAGACTTTGGGCACAAGGACACTTTTTTTGGAATCTCACCACACAGGTGCTCCGAGCTGCTTGGAAGAGGCCCGGGGGCAGCTCTGGAAGGGCCGGGCTCCCGGCCGGGCGCTGGGGTCGCAGCTCTAGTTAGATCCTCTTCGTGGGCCCTGGTGTTAGAATCCCACTCCCAGATAATTACCTTTCAAGTCTTAGGTGAGCAGAATCGCATATTTATTGAGAAAAACAAAGTGGACCCTTTCTCCCTCTCCCCTTAGTAATTTATTTTTTTGCAATGGATTCTTTTGTGTTTGTACAGATTGCCAGTCTGTGTCTGTCTGATCAGAAGGATGTCTCCCTGTGCCCTAACATTCCATATCACTACACTGGCGAGGGCGGGCCGCAGGGCGGGCGGCGGTGGGGCAGGCGCGGGGGCCATCCCTCTGAGCGCCCGGCACCACCAAGCAGGAGGACCTCACCCACACCCACGGCAAAGCAAAGACAAACCCACGCTCCCCTCTCCATCTCACAGACGCCCCAGCCACGGCCACCTGTATTCTACCTCACACTCCAGCGGGGGGCTTTTTCCAGGATGTGCCCTGAGCCTGTTCTGAATGGCTGTCTCCCAACCCCACACGGTGTGTGCCTAGGATGTAAGCCCGGCCCTCCCAGCTGCCCGACAGGACAGGGCCTGGGAGACGGAGGCCGGTCAGCGGAGTCCCAACCCTCACCTGCCCAGGGAGCCGGCCGAACACTCCCCGCACAGACCCAGGCCCTCAGGCCCCTGCTGGGAGACCCTGTTTCTTCAGGGCGAGCCTCTAGGTCTCAGGCAGCCACTGGCCAGGAGAGGCTGCTGGGCTCAGTTCCCATCCCCGGCCCCTGTGGTGGAAATTGAGGGGCCGTCATCCACCAGAGTAGCCACTTGGGCTCTCCTAAGACCAGCCCTTCTGGAGGGACCAGTCCTGGAAGAAGCCTCTGATCCCTGGAGTGTGAAAGGGGCAAAAGAAAAGGCTGGCCTGGTTTCCTTCCTCCCGACTAGGCACTTCCTCTTGCTCAGTGCAATACCTACCAGAGCTGCTAAACCAGGGATTCGCCCAGACCTCAGCAGGCCCCCGGGCCTCTCCGTGCAACACTCCGTAGCCATGACCGCAGCTCCGCGGCCGCCCCTGCCCAGAGCTGGCAGAAGCCCTCTGTTGCCTTTCCTCCCTCAGAGCAAAGAGGCCCGGGGCCGAGTGACCCTGGGACGGCCACTGAGAGCCACCTGACCCCAGAGTAGGTATCCCTTCTCGAGCCAGCTTCTCCACAGCCGGCTGCCTCCCGGCACTGGCAGACCACCCTCGGGAGGGCCGGGGCGGGAGCCCGTGTGCTGTCCCACCCTGTGCCTGCTTCCAGCCCCGAGGGGCTGGGGTGGGCTTTTCTCTCTCAAGTGGCCTCCAACACCCCATCCCACCACACCACCTCTGCCTTGCATCCGACCCACCCCCAGGCCTCCGGTCGGGGCCAGGACACCCGAGACTCCCCCTTAGCACAGCACAAACCCCAGTGCCCACGGCCTCCCCCACACCCAGCCATCTGCACAGCCATCCTCCACCTGCTCAGTACACTCCCTGACGTTTTAATTTGTGTAAATATTTATTTTTGTGTGTGAACAATATTACAAAGTAATCAGTAGATCTTTTGCAAAATGTTACCCCAGGCAATTTGTGAAATCTTAATGTTAAAAACTGGCAGAGACAATCGCCGCCTTAGAATTCTTGGTATCAATTGCTTAACATGTCATTTCTCCTCCCAGAGGCAGTGCCCACGCCAGGCACGGACGGTTTGCTTTTCTAACAGCCAGGAGTGAGGAGGCCTGGGGAAGGGGCTCCTGCCCCACCACACACGGACTAGACCTAAAGGTCACATAAGCTACAGTTTGAAGTCGCGCTTTTCTGAGTTTAGGCTGCCCTAGCTGATCACCTTCAGCCCACCGAAAGCTGCGGTAAGAGCGAAGCTCCGTGTGTGTAAGAAAGGAAAGGGACGCCGGCGGCGCTGGTCCCGGCTCCCCGTGGCTCCCCGTGGCTCCCCAGGGCGGGTCTGAGGTGGGGTCCTTCCCCCTGTAGTTGCGCCAGAAGCCCTGGAGAGGGCAGCATCGGGAGTGAGTCACTGTGTGAAACAGGATCCCATTAGCTAGTCCAGTCAGGGAACTTGTTCTGTTTGGCTTTTGTTTTAAAAGATGCAGCTTCAAGCCCAGTCCCTCTCTGCCTGGCTTGGAGAGTACCTAAGAGCTGGTTCTGCTGAACCTCACTCCCACTGCCCCCTCCCCTCCTCCCATCACCCCAGGGGCAGCCTTCTCCCGAAGCCCTCCCCAGAACCTATTAGTCACCTGGGACCCAAAGTGTAAAAGATAATGCGAGTAGAACACACCGGTCCCAGAGTCTTTGCAGGGGCCTGATCCCGAGAGGAGAGAAGGCAGAATCCAGAGAATGGGGATTGGTCTTAGACCAGAAAGGGGGCGTGCCTGAAACTCATTTACCCTCACTCTCTGACGAACAGACTGCACATCCTAGGACAGCAGAGGGGGCAGGGGTTGGGGGGAGAGGCAGGCAGGGGGATTAGAGGACTTCAGACAGGTGGAACCCGGCCATCCCTATTCCCAAGGGCCACTTACGACTCCAGGGGTGGTTACAGGATTAACTACCAGTTCATTTTCAAAATGCTGCTTTGAACTCAGAGGGTTGATACATTTAATTTGTAATTTTTTGTAAAACTTTTTACAAGATAGTAAAGTATTTCACCAGAATACCAGTTTCAATCCGTCCATGGTCTGATTTTTATATAATTTAGTGGTGCTTTAGAAACTTTGTTTTCGTTGTTTCTGGGCTAAACAGCTCAATCCTTTTTCGCCTGTATCTACCTAAGACCAATGTGAACCTTTGTATTTTTGCTCCTAATTTTGGACTCAGTGAAAGTGTACTGTTTACATGTACAGATGCCCCAGCCCCGTGTGTTCTGCAGACTCGCTCTTGAGGAGGAAGGTGCACCTCACTACGCTCATCTGCTTAGCAAAGCCACGAACAAAAACCTCTCACTTTTTACTTACGTTTCCACCTAAAAACAAAAACAAACCTACCACACACACAACTCGGATTTACCGAAACACACTTTTCTAAGCTCAGAAAAATCTCTGTGTAAGCAGATGGCCCGCATGCGCCTGCATGTGGTCGGTTTAGAGGCAGGGCCGGGACAGAGGCCTCCCGTGTCATCGGCGGGGACTGCACGGCAGGTGGGCAGTGAAGCAGGACTGGGCTGCACAGCGGTGGGTGGGATGGTTCTCCCAGCAGCCTCGGTGGCAGGTGGTCAGCAGTCCTCTGGCATCATTCAGACGGTGCTGGGAGAGCGCCGACTCCCTACCTGGGCAAGACTGGAAGAGTCTCCAGTGCAGACATGAAGACACTTCAAGGTTCCCCTGGAGACATCACCTCTGGCGAGGGGCAGAGGGCTCCAGACGATAAGCATATGGCACTTAAGGCAAACAATGGATGGCACCAACTTTTAAAGGTGACTCTTTATTACTTAATCAGTGGCTTCACCTCTAAATTATATTTTTACAGATATGCACCTATGCAACTTAACGTGGCTCTTCTAAGCAGGTGAGAACTTCCTCTTCAACGCTCTATAAAAATCCTTTGTGTTCTATATAGTGAGTTTTTCCAGTAAATGTGGCTCAATATTTTAATTCTTAGACTGTGTCTTCTCTATGTGATGCAACTAAATTCTGTTTTGTTTGTGGAATGACTAGCACAGGCCAACTCCCTCTCCCCTCACTTAACAAAAGACCAATGAGCTGTTAATCGAGCTGTTTCTCCATGGTATTACTTGCTAAATGCACTGATTTCATAAGTATGTGGAATCCTTTTTCTTTTGAATCTGTATATCATATATAAGACTGAATCTACTTAATAAACACTGAATAACAAACTGAACGTGTCCTTCCCACGTGTCCTCTCACAGCCACACTGACAGCTAGACCTCTTCCAAACCTCGCTGGGCGCTGAAACACCCCCCACTGGTAGACGCCACCTTTGCTTAGCCCGGCAGCGAGCACACGGAAGGTCCTTCGGCACCTGGCAGCTAGAAGGGAAGGAAACGCATCTTCCCTGGTGCTCGCCAAGCGCCTGTGGGCACCATGTTGCAACCTCGCCATGACCTTCCCAGAGTGGTGCCCTTGCCTCCACTGGCAGACGAGTCAGCAGGGCGCCCGGGGCACGCCTCGCCTAAATTCCGCCGGTGACCAAGCCAGGCCTTCAACTCAACCGTTTGCCTGTAAACCGTGCCCATCCCCCTCCCCAGTGCGCAGCTCTTCAACCGTCAGAAACCAAACCCGCCTGCCAGGCCCACGGGCTGGCTGGGAAACTGGTCCTGAACCTTCACTACTGACATTCCACTCGACCCCAAACCCCAGTCCTGCCCTGAAGGGGACAAAAAGGCTGCTTTTTCCGGAGACGTGTACTTTTTCCATCCTATACATATCACTTAGGTTAAACTTTAAAGCAAAACTTACAGGAATATGGGTAGGAACAAAACTGCCATGAGTTTAAAAACAAATTTGACTGAGTTAAATGCATAAACATAAGTTTTACTGTTAAAATTGTGCCACACACTGCACACAATATGGAAGTTGTTTTCAAAACATTTTTCCTCATGGCAGAATAATCTATTCAATATTTAAAATATAAATTCTGTGCAGCTGCCAAATACATTAAAAAGGAGAAGAGCCAATGGTTTGAACACCCCGGAGTGCACCTGGGGGCTGAGATTCAGACCAATAGTAGTAAGTCCAGTCAAAGCAGGGAACCTCTCAGACCCTCTCCGTTCACGTGCATGTCGGGGCCACGGGCAGCACATCCTCAGTACCGTGAAAAGGTCTGTCCTGAATCCACCGCTGCTGAGCGTTACCAAGGACCATACACCCCAACGACCTGGGACGACACCTACAGAATCCAGACCAGCCACACACGATCGCACTGGTCGACCAGGACGGCACTTACCTCGGAGGAAGCCACAGCTCCATGAGAACACTGGGATCCTGGGACCAGAGAAGGCGCTGGAGAACGGAGGCACTGCTGGATCCCCGTCTTCTTTAACGGAGCTCCCGACCACGGCTGTCCACAATGTCCAGGACGTCGAAAGGAGTGCCCCTTAGAGCAGGGAAAGCATATACACAGCGAGCAAGCAGGCCACCTCACTGCACTCAGTGGACAGGGAAGAACACGCATGCACTATAGGAAAGGAAACCTGGAGCAACACTAGTTCATCTCACACACCTGACCTCCTGCTGGCTGTTTACTCCAATTATCTCACACACACACACACACACACACACACCCAAAAACATACAAAAAACAACTCAGTTTTGAAAGTACAAAACTGGTGTGGATGCAAATGTCACAAAGACTGGTAAAGTTAGGAAACCAGTGTACACAACAGAAGTGGCAATGGTTTCATTTTTAATTCTGACCTTTTAGAGATCTGAATTTAGATTGTTTCATGGTGTCTTACAGTACATAAATCCAGTTCCCAGAAACGCTAGCTAACTTCTATCATACATACCATCAGAGCCCAAACGACATCAAGGGAGCATCTTCAATTCCTGGTTTCTGGCTCACTTCAGGAAATACTAAAAACAAAGATCTTTCATTTGTAGAGGCCAGATACACGGAGACAATGATAACGGGACCTGACTTAAAGCAGCATAACAAACCTTGACAAGTAAAAGAAAAATTTAAGTACTTTAAAATGTACTACAGAAGCTTAGTAGTCACCGAAACTTAGTCATTTCTCCCCTCCTTGATCTCTTGAATAAACTCAGATTACCGTATTTTTCGGACCATAAGACGCACTTTTTCCCCCCCCAGAAGTGGGGGGGAAAAGTCCCTGCGTCTTATGGTCCAAATATAGCCTACACATATACTTTAAAAAAAAAGTTTACTTGCCCGGCTCTAAAATGGTTCTAAATGCTGCTGTTTACTTTACAGGGTTGATTACATGTGTTTATGACTGTGATGTTGGGTTTTAATGCACATAAAATATTTTAGGACACTATTTGTTTCAGAATCTTTTTTTCTTCATTTCCCTTCTCTAAAAACTGGTGCGTCTTATGGTCCGGAGCGTCTTATGGTCCGGAAAATACGGTAGGTTTATCATCAGTCAGAGGCTCTTAAGTGAGAGGCCCCAGGTGCCTAAGGAGCTCTGGCACCCTGATAATATGCACAACTTACAACAACTTACAACTCGCATTCCTGGAGAGGGCCCAGACCTTCCATCATCCCATCAGGCTCCCATTGTGTTCCCAGAAGGCCAAGAGCCACTGCACTGGCAGCTTTTTGTTCCTCTCCTTAAAAGAAAACTTTTTAAATTAATTTCAGAGAGGAGAGGGAGATAGATAAATCAATGAAGAGAATAATCCATCGGCTGCCTCCTACACTCCTTCTACTGGGGATGGAGCCCGAAACCCAGGCCGGGAATCCAATCATGACTTGGTTCATGAGTCAATGCTTAACCACTGAACCACACAGGCCAGTCTCTCCTTTTTTTTTATACAACTTCTGTCCACCTTTTGGTAGAGATGTTTATTTCATGCTTTCACATTGATCCATAGAGCCCTAGCTGGTTTGGCTCAGTGGACAGAGTGTCAACTTGCAGACTAAGGGTCCCGGGTTCAATTCCAATCAAGGGCAAATGCCTGGGTTGTAGTCTCGATCCCCAGTGGGGGTGTGCTGGAGGCAGCCAATCAATAATTCTCATCATTGATGCTTCTCCCTTTCGGAAATCAATAAAAATATATTTTTTAAAATAAAAATAATTAAATAAAATCAACAAATTGATCCATATAGATGAGAAGAAGCCTTAGACACTATCAAGGTTTGGCTTCAACTATTAACCAGTTAAATGCCACACGTCCAAATCAGAAACCATCCCCACACGCCACGATAATTTGAATTTAATTGGATCTATAGACACTAATGGCATGCAAAGTGTTAATCTCTAAGGTCATAAAGTCCATACAGGAGGACAACACAGCCTGTGCCACCTCCTCTCAGGGCACAAGCAGGCAGATGCTTGCTCCCCCAAGCCCCTGATGCAGGCGGCTACTCTGTTAAGCACACCCCCCCCTCAGGCTGCGTCTTTCTCAAGAGCAGGTTGGACATGACGACACCTCAAAAAGGCCACTTAAGTTTTCATATTCGGAAGCATTCGGTTTCCTTGTCCTCTGAAGGAAATGTCTCCACCACCAAGCACTCCATCTCTAAACACTGAGGCCACGGGCCAGATGTCCGCCACAGCTCCCCTCGGGGTGAGGGTCAAGCGAGCGCCTCTAGCTTCCACTGTAAATTCTGTGGCGATTGTCTGGCTTGGCGCATTTCACAGTCTGGGGTACTTACTTTGTGCCAGGCCCTAATAGCTTTATGGAGATACTAACCCCATTCAGAGATGGAAAAGTCGGCAGAGGCCGAGTAACTGGCAATCACAGTGAGTGGACAGCAGGGTCTGTACTCCAACCCTCTGCACTATTCTGCCTCGCTGATGAGATGCAACTCTGGACCCTAATACCTTCTGAACTCCTGCACAGACCCTGACATGAAGGCACATGGACACATCTTCACCACCAGGTGGCTGCCCAGTCACACCTGCAGCACCACCAACTGCCCTGAGGGATCCCACCACACAGTCCATTTCCTCCCACTCATAGGAAACAAGTCAACGGATCCTTCTTTTAGTTCATCTTTACTTCCCATCGTGTTGTTTTTTACTTTCGGCATACTTAGATTCTATGAAGCACAAAATCATGTATTTAAGTACTCCAGGACTTTAAGTGTCTGAGGACTGAAGTCAACCCCTGCAGGCTGGCTCTCTCAGCCTCGGTCTGCAGGCAGCACTTCCCTCACTGCTGGCTGCTGCTGCACAGATGTCCATCCATGTTCATGGCTTTTCAAGGTCAGAACTGTTCACCCTCCCTCAGGTCGTCATCGGCCAGGCCATTAGGAAGCTCTCGAGCAATCTCAGGCTCAGTGAGGCAGTGGAGATGAGCATCCTCACCTCTTTCATTCATTTCCGCTCCAGTGCAGTGGGAGCCTGCCAAGTCAGTCTGAAGAGTGAAACCGACAAGTTATGCCTCCAAGTCTCACCTCACAAAGGAGCTCCTCACACCACACAAGCTTCAGAGCCAAGGTGAGGGAGCCGGCACATGCAGCTTCTCCTCTCCAGCTGAACCTTCCTCTCCTCCGGGGCGGGCGGGGGGAGGGCAGCCACAGAAGATGACGGAGACTGAGTGCAGGTTGTACAGGTTTATTTTTCCAAACCACAGGAGACATACAAGAGCAGCGCTTTCTCTGGGCAGCCCCATGGACTAGACCCTAGAGTGGCCTCAAAGGTCACAACAGAAGGAAGAAGAGGATCAAACACGCTTGGGCCTCTGCTCCCTGTCTTTGGTAAACAGACGCTTAAAGTTGACAACTTGGACTAGGCCAATACTGCATTTAACTCACCACCACATCACTGCCAACTTCTCACTCATGCTTCAGATGACAAAAAATGCCACGCTGGATGAAATGGGAACGGGGAAGACCTCTCAGATGAAATGAGATCTGAAGTCATACCAATTTTATACTTCACACCTAAGCACTCACACAGGGAGGCTGGGGTTGAACAAGGACTCAACTCCGCAAGAAGCTGAGATACAAGAAATAAGGCAGGAAGCAGGGTGGGAAAGACAACTATGGAGACATCTATTTGTTAGAAATGTGTTGGGGAGAGGCAGGTAGCAGGCCTGCCTGTTTCTTCCCCCACCTGCTGTCAAAATGAGCTCTACGCCCCGAGGAGCACGGTCCCAGGTATTGCTGACAGGCGGTGACCCTGGAGCCAGATCTGAAGGCCCACGTGGGGCTGCCCAGGGCACTCACCCTCGAGTTCAGAAGCACTTAAC